GCCCGTTTACCGAAATAAGCCATAAAAGATATACAGTCGGTTAAATTAGAAAATTGCGTATTTTAGGGATTAGTAAAGTGTTGTTTTAAAAATTCGGAAATTCCGAACAGGTCCGAAGTTATTCGAAAAAAAAACCGAAATTAACCATATTGGTTTGTATTTTTTTTTGTAACCATGGACAAATAACACTTCCTCATAGACATTTTTTGAGCTCTGCAAGATGGTGTCCACCGATTTTCATTGCGACGTTTCGTCTTTGAGGTACCATCATCAACTTCATATTTTTATAATGGCCGAAAAAAAATACGTACAGTGATATAGGGATTGCCTATGTCTACTTTCAAAAGATAAAAAGTCTTCTGGAAGGCGGCTAATTTTATGCAACCAAAATAACTTCTTGAAACAAATAAAGATCTGGCTGTCATATTAATTATTAATTTGAATATTGTTGCTTTGGCTCACAGAAAATAAATCTCTTAAGTTCCTGTTCCTGTAACTGTTATCGGCTCTTTAGTTGAATACATCGCATACGAACTGAAATTAGAATAGGGAAGTCAAAGCGATAATATTCAAATTAATTAATATGACAGGCAGATCTTCATTTGTTGTAGGTTATTTTGGTTGCATAAAGTTAGGCGTCCTTTAGAAGACTTTTTATCATGTAAAAGTAGACATAGGAAATCCCTATGTCTACTTCTACATGAATATCACTGTATATGTACAGGGTAGCCAACTAAGAATGCGAGATACTGTATTTGAGAACCTATCCATCGTAGAGACTTGCGGTAAAAAAACGTTATTACTAAAACGGCCACGAGAAAAACTTGGAAAATATTTTTAAGTTTGTAAAATGGCCGTTAGGGGGCGTAACTGCAATGTGGAATCTAAAAAAGTGATGTTTCTGTGAATTCCGCTATATTAACCTAACAAAAAAATGTCCTGTCTTTGAAGTCGACGATAATCTGAACTTTTTTTGTTTGACAATTTTTGCTGTATCTCTAAAAATGAAGTGGTGGGGAGTATTCAAAGGTTTCCGAGTTATCATGCGAGATGCGGTTTTCGTGAGCTTATTTAGGTATCATTTAGCTACTTTTTCATGAAAAAAATTCCCAGATACAGTAATTCGCATTCTTATTTGGTCACCCTGTACTGTATTCTATTGAGTAGCATTTTTTATCACGAATGCAACGATGTATGGCACAATATGATTCTTTATTAGATGTCATCTAAAGGAACCATCAATGAATTATTTTGCCAACGCCTACTACACCAAAATGTAAAAATTTAACAACAGGCATTTTTTCTGGTTTGAATAGTAAAGAATTTTTAACATTTTGGGGTAGTAGGCGTTGGCAAAATGCCAAATAATTCATCTGGTCTATATATTGACATAATCTGTCTATTCGGCCCTAGTCTAGTACGTTGACACATTTTTAAAATACGTTTTGGGGTCCCTTATCCGATTATAAAATATATTTCTGTGTGGATGATACCTGATTAATATATTTTAATGTTCTTAACCCCCAACATAGTTACAGTAAGTCCAAATAAAAATCACATTAGTTTCATAAATTTTGTTTTAAATCCTGATATTTATGCATCAATTTCGGTTGGAAAAAACGTGATTGTTTATATTTTGACTATCTCTGCTCGCCTAGATTGAGAAAATGCGCATTAGATTTAAGAAACTGACGTTCTCCGAACAGAATACGTCAATGAGTGGAAATATCTATTTTTGTCTCGTATTAATATCAGATAATTAATGATCATTACCTTGTTCCAGGTATGCATAATAATACAAATTACAACCGGACGGCCATAGTCAGCTACCGGCCGAGTGCTAGGCACAACGTGGTACGTATAAAAACTCGCCTCGTCACCTAAAACTTGTTTTCCACTTGTAAATTCCGAAGATTTAAACGACTATTATCGTAAATAATTGAGGTCTATTTGAATTTCATACACAAGCGGATCGATCGGGGTTACTTGATTGCGCGTATAGAAGTTATTGCAGTGCCGTTTATTGGAAAACGATATATTTTGAGAGATTAAATTTGCCGCCGCTTTGTTACCTATATTGCCTTCGCAAATAAATACGCGACGAATTTAGGGGTATTAGTGTAGAGACGTATTCTTTGTGGTTTGACATTTGAAATCAATTTGTTTACGTTTTGTAATTGCCCTCCAATTATTCGTTTATCTCTCTGTACTGGAAAATTTCTGTTGCACGTCCTTAATTGTAAACGATTGGGTGAAACGGTGTCTTTGTGTGTAATTTTTGAGTGTTCCGCTAAAGTCAAACTTTTTGTGATCTTTTGAGTCATATTTCGTGTAAATATGGAAAAATGTGCAAACGCTGTAATAAAACATTGAGAGACACAATTTAAATAAAAAAACGAGGGTCTACCCTACTTTAACCCTCAATAACGACCGTTAGATTGTAATACATCCCAACCCTTTCTTTACCAACTTTAGTTTGAAATATCAACATTTCGTTTGCGCGGTTTGTAATAGAAATTCATTTTTGATATTGAGAGATAACATTTAGACAGAAGAGAACATTTAGAGAAGAGATGTGTAGGCGAAACATTTGCAAAAACCGAGGCAAAAACACACTTCGCATTGATAGGAAATATTGAATTTTATTTGTAAATGAAATAAACGCACTATATTACCGGCAGGTACTAAAAGAAAATGAATTGTATTTTCATTAAACACCCTGTATAATAAAAAGGAAACGAACTGCAATACGTTAATATATTAAGAATTTTTAGCTACGACTCTATACTATACAAACACCAACTTGATGAATAGCATAAAATTCTCTTCAATAAGTCATAATTAAATCAATGCACTACGACTCTAGTTCAAATATAACGAATGATTTTCTATAAATCCCTTTATTGTTTGTGCACCAGGAGTTCTAGATGCGTTTTGGTACTGCTTTTAGAATAAAAATGGTCCCTCCTCCAGCGCGGACCGGCTATATACTTCTAGTCTGAGACCGTTTCTACAGCTGTGGAGAACGAAATTGGCCCTTCAGATGCACTTTGCACGGACCGGCTACAGAATCCTAGTTTGCATACCGCCGTGGAAACGTGCTTCTTGTTTTCTTCTCTTCGTCCGCAGCGCGACAAGGAATTGTGAAGGAAAAAGGTTCTTAGG